TTATTCCTCCCCCCTCGCTCCTATAGTACAGCACAGATCAATAAGTGCTTCTTCTCCCTATGCAAGCACAGAGTCCTGTACTATTTCTCCCAAAGGACATGCATTTGCACAGAACTTATATGGAAACAAGCAGAGACTTGGCAGGATTGGGCACAGTGCTCTAAGTAGAGGTCCAAAAGTTTTTTTATGCTTTAGTATGCATTTTTAATTATTTTAAAAATGACTTCTATGAAAATTTTAATTTCTGTAGGCATTAGGTGATATTTGCATTATTTACTTTTTTAAAACCCTTGAAGTGAAAATTTGGTTATAATGTGTGTGTATTAGGTGATCGCTTATTATGAATATGTACAAAACTGTAACTGGATGAAACGTAAAATTTAGGTGGAAAATGGAGTTCACAGTTAAGTTCAGAATGTGTATGTGCTGTATTGGACTTGGCAGGCCTACAGTTAGGATGGGCATGATGTACACAAACTGTGTTCTGATTCCTGAGTTGCTATTGGAAGTTTTGCTGTAAAGTTCATTGGGGTTTGGGGGTTATAATTTTTTACGGTTTCTTTGCTCATTTGGAAGGGAAAAGCCAGATCCCTGTTTCTAAGTCACTGCTAAGTTTGTCAAGTCGGCAATGTAGCATCAACAAGGCTATGTTGTCTCTTGGACTTAGAAAGAAAAGCCCTTGCCTCTGTTTAAAGAAAACCTGAAAATTACTCAGATAAATCTAGAGAGAGAGAGGGTTAGATGTTTTCTTCCAGTCACTGTAAGAGCCATTTAAAGAAGTGCATGTCCTGATGATGTGTACTTTAAGTTTGAATTAACTTCTCAGTTCTGTGCTCAGGTGTAGTTTGAAACAGCGTTTGAGGAAGACTCAAAGCAGCTCATCATGTAACAACTCCCTCCCCCGATTTTTTTTTTTTTTTTCCCCCGTAGGTTAGACCTCCAAAATGGTCATTACTTTTTTTCTTGTGTTGAAAGCAAATCATCCTGACTTTACAGGAAACCTGAAAATCCTTTACAGTGGGCAAAAGGAGGTCGCAGTGCTGCAAGCCAGGAGCTGTGAAGTGCTGCCGGATCAGGGAATGCTGATTTTAATGAGGGCAGCTCTAATGACTCATCCTGACTCAGTGCCTTTTCATACAGGGCGTAATTAGATCGCCGGGGCAGAATGTGCTGGAGGTCAAAAGTGTAAGTGGATTTAAGGGGAAAAAAGGGTGTAAGTTCATGGGGGATGAACTTGGGTTTTTTTTATGTTCATTGAGGCTGCTGTAGGGGATGTTAGGGCTAATATGGCCCTAGAGAGTGGAAAGGTAGGAAGGTGACTGAAGGCTGCTGAAATTGTAGGCAGACAGTGTTGTTCTGTGGCATCAGTGTGTGCTTTTCCAGTGTTCAGGTTCTGTGAGCATTGCTCCCAGCTTCTCTTTTGTGAACACTAGGAGTGTACATGCACGAATTCAATGACATACACAGCCATAGTCGTAGTGCTGCTAAAGTATTCAGTCCCTTTCAGAGGTGTGCCAAGAGCACAGCCTGCTCTTCATCTTCTGTGGGTGTCACAGCTACACCTTGTATACTACACAAGGAACAGGCAAAATACAAGAAAATAACGTGGCTTTGTGCCATGGCCTGGCTGATTGTATCAGAGTATTGAGATGTGTCTTAAAACCAAAGACCTGGGAATGCCACTCACTTGGATTCAGTTTCACTTCATCTTCTATTTAGAAATTTTGTGCTAAAAAGCTGTTACAGAAATTACTATAATAAATTTAAGGAACCTGAGAGTAGTGGACTCATCCAGATCACAAACTCGGGCAACTCTGAGGATGCAGTGTAAGTTCTCTGTTTTCCATTGCCTAATTTTTACCCAGCTCCCTGCGTTTGTAGTGATCCCATTGAATCCAGGCTGTGTTATGCCAGCAGTGGCACAGATGTTTGGTGGAAGAACCCTTGTCCTGACAAGTCTGTAGCTGATTTTCTGCAGCCCATGCACAGTAGTGGTGTCCAGCACCCCTCTGGGGAAGCAGATTGGAAAGGGGCTGCAGGCCAGAGGGCAGGTAAGGGATTATTCTTGCTAACAGCACTATGTAAATAAATAAAAAAAATATATAATAAATTAATAAAATCTGGGGTAAGCAAGAACCTTTCAGTTCATGTCACAATACAGCAAGCTGAGATGAACTGAGTCTTCCTGAGGTTGGTGCTGGGCAGTTTTGACCCTGAAGAATTAATTACATTCTTCCTAATTTAGCATTTTAAAAGAAGCTCAAAGGACATCATCTGGTTCCTCTGCTTCTGCGTTGGCCAGATATCATCCAGCTCTGGCCTTGATATTAAGGTTCTGTTGATACAAACTATTTCATTTATTTTCCAGGGTTTTTTAAAAATGTAATCCCATTTAATATGACGAACAAATCCCATGCTTTTAGCCTGATGGTAGGATCTTGTCTTGCCTGTCAAGATTTTAAATGCACCTTTGTCCATGTTATGTTCCACTGCAGCAATGGGATTACCTTCAAAGGGAAGGATTTTACACAGGCTTGGCTATGAAACCACCATAACAAAATGCTGAAGTATGTAGGTGATGTAGTAAAGTTCTTTCTTAAAAAATTATTATTCCTCTATGTAAAATTCTAAGTACTTAGCAGCTATTTTTTATTATACATGCAGATTTTTTTGTATACTCTTTTAGAAATTCCATTACAGATACATATTTATACCTCCTCAATGCTTCTATAATGAAGTAGAGTTGTTACTGTGTGAATACATCTGATCTGTGAAGCCTCCAGAATTTCTCATTAAACACAGAGGAGCAGGGGCATTGGGAGCCAGTTTTCAGCTAGAACAGGCTCATCTCCAGCAGCACAAGTCATGTGTCTGGCCAAGGAGAGGTAGGCACAGGTAGGACCTTCTGATGCCAGGATGATCCAGGATTGTTCTCCCTTGCTTTCCAGGGATCAAACTGAGGCTGCATAGACCCTTCCATGGATATTCCTCTATGAAAATGCAAGTGATATGTGCTATTTATCCTGTTTCCCCACTTATTCCACACGAGTTTCCAGACACCTGGTATTTCTGGGTGCATGCTATTGAGCTCTGTATAAGTACTCTATGTCCTCTTTATTTAGACTTTCCCTCTGGTCTGAGGGGCCTGGCATTGTCAAAAGCCAAACCAATTATGGCTACAATGAATAAAGCAGGAAGCACCTTGAACTTTCTGATGCCAAGTCCCTTGTTCTGTTTTGGGTTTCCAAACCCCATCCCTGCAAGCTCAAGCAGTGCCTGGGTATTCCACCCGTCCCTGTTTCTGACTCAAATGTGCTACCCTTTTTTTTGTTTATATCTTTATTTTCCTGCCACCTTTTCTGGCTTCCTGCTCATCAGCATGTGTCATGCTTGGGTTTGGAGAAAGTGGTGCTGGAACATGGTTTCCCAAGCCTGTCTTTCTGGGTCTCAGGAGATTGTTCCAGGCAGGACTCTGAAGAGTCTGGAATTGGTTTTCTTGAAGCCCAGGTGATGCTGCTGTTATCTGCCACGTTGGCTCAGTATCCTGGTCTCCATGTCATGGTCACTGCAGGCAAGGCTGCCCTGACCTTTGCATCCCCAGCTCTGCCATGTTGGTATGTTTGAGAGCCAGCACCAATACCTTGTTCGTGGCTTCCTGAGCACCTGTGTCAGGGAGGTGTCATCAAGGGTCTGGAAACCTCCAGGAATCTGCTCCTTCAGCTGGGTGAGTGCCCTGTCAAGACCAGGGCCTGTGAATACTGGGCTTTGCAGAATAGTTTGTCCTAGAGCCCACAACAAGTTTCTTTCTCTTTAGCTTTAAACAGCTGATGGGAAAGACTTCAAGATGTAACTAGTTGAAGCACTACAGTGACTATAATGTAATGACATTTGCAGTATGCCCTAGGTCCTGAAGGAAAATTCAAGGACGAGCTTTTAATAAATCACAAAACCGCTTGGAAACTTTGGTGTCACAAGTTCAGCCCCTAATAAATGATTCAGCTTTGAGGCAGGTCAGAGCCACTTCCCCTCCTTTGCCTTCTCCCTCTCCCTTCACATGAATAAAAAAAGGGAAAGAGCACACTGGAAAAGAACGAACTGAGGATTTTAAGGAAAATGGCATTTTTTTGGCTTTATAGCAGAAAGCAGTGCACAACCCCCAGTGCCATGTGTTGGGTTTTGTGCTCGGATAGGATAGCACAGGGTTACTCCGTTACTGTCTGCCCTCCTATTTATTACCAGGACAAGAGGCACATTGTGAGCACGGCTCTTCATTTTTCTTTGCTCATTTCCTATTGCTGCACTGGTTTTGAGCAGGCTTGTGCTTAAACTTGACAGGAGCAGAAATAAACCGTATCCTGTGAAACAGAAGATATTTTTCTGACTGATATGTCAGTGGTAGGATTTTTTTGGTTTATTTCCACTGCTAACATTTGTGTTAGCTAAAACACAGGATTTCCATCTATGCTTTAAGAGGTAAAGAAAGTAGAAACTGACAGTGTCTTTAGAAGCTACGACTTCTTTCAAGTTGTGCTTATTCTTACTATATAAATGAAAGCAAAGCAAGGCTTTTGAGGCACTCTCACTTTGCTAGAGGCTGGAAATGACACAGCTGAGTTCTCAGCTTCAGTCACACGTCTCCTGTGCCGGGCTTCCAAGGTGATACTAGGAGATGGATCTCTTTGTTTTGCTGAGTTAAAATGCAGCCTGCTAACTTGGAATGTGTGTGAACTGATCAGGTAAGGAGGGACAAGTTGTCTTAAGGTGCTGGTGGTTAATACTGAAGCTAAAACAAACACGGAAGGGTTTTGCTGTTGGTGGCCTCTGCCCTGGATTCAGAATCGTGAGCCATTGTTCTCAGCGACTCCCAGAGTGTTCGGGATTTGTGAAACTTGGCTTCTGAAGCCACAAAGGCACCAACGACTGCTCTTTGTGAGCCGTGTTTGCTTTCTGTTGCTGTGCTTTGCCTGTGCAGTGTTGAGCGTGACCTTTGTGCTCCGCAGGATCTGCAGGCGTGGGTGAGCGGCGCTCACGAGCACGGCTTTGTCCTCGTCTCCTTCGGCGCTGGAGTCAAGTACCTGTCGGAAGACATCGCCAATAAGCTGGCACACGCCCTGGCAAGGCTGCCCCAGAGGGTTATCTGGAGGTGAGGGCAGTGCCGGAGGGACTCGGGGTGGTTTGGGGCATGCTTGTGTCCCACTGGAGTTGTGGAAGCTGGAATTGAGACATGGAATGGCACAGACGATGTGATGCTCCTGAAGAACACTTGGCATGAAAAGATTGCAATATCCTGGTGACAAGGAGAAGCAGGGATCGTTGTGGCAGGGCAAGGTGTGGGTTTATATTCTTGGAAGGATTTGGGGCAGTGAAAACAAGCTGAGATTATAACATTTGGGATACACTGCCACTGTTTTTTGATGAAGGAACTACCCCAGGGCTCAAAAATGCATCTTGATGATGAAAAGCCTCCTTTTTCTGCCTTTTCCCCCTCACTTTATTAGGCCCCTCTTCCTCTCTTATGTGTAAACACAGGGTTTCTTTATTCATTTTCCCATTTGCTTGATCTTCGGTGAGAAATGGAAGAAAGAGAAATTTTCAGGAGTCAGAATCAGTAAGAAACATTCTCAGTTCTAAAAACATCTTGAGTGGTGCTCACAAATCCCTGTAAAAATCCAAAAACCGTTGAGTCAGCTCTGCCTTGCGTCAAGCTTTGCTGATATAATTTGGTGGAGTTCATGTGAATCATTTTTTTTGCAGATAAGCACTGTCTTACACCTCATGTGGGTGTCTCACAACCCTGCCACACTCTTGGAGTTGTATTAACAGTTTTGGTGGCCTGTTCCCCACAATATTTGAGGGGAAGTCCTCGCTGCTGTGTGTAGTTCAAGGATCAAATCCCACTAATGAACAGGAAAAATGGGAATTTTTCAGGCTGTGGCACAGCATCTGTGGTAGTAAAGGTAACATCAGTTTCTGTTTGGAGTAGAGCCACTGTTTCCTTATGAATCCCACAACACTGCTTGGTTTCCAATTAATAATGCAAATTTATCTTACTGCTTTTCTTCTATCCTTTTACTGTGTTTTCCCTGGAATGTTTCTTTAGGAAGCATCCCCTTGTTTTGTAGTAAATAAATTGGGAGGACTTTCCTTGATTAATGCCCACCCAACAATTTTATTTAAAGCCTTCTACTAAAATTTGGGTGTTTATGTATCAATCAAATGGAACTTGGTGTTTTTTGGGCATTTGGGGTTTGGTTTTGTTCCTCAGATCATGGACCTGTATGCTGGACAGAAAAGTGGTGGGTACTGCTGGGCAGTCTTAATATCATGATGCTAAATCAAAGGATTCTTGTAGTTTATGCCCTTCTGGTTAGGAAGAACAAACCAGTAACATAATTAGTTGCTTTTATCTAACTTAGCATAAATAATAAAGGCTTTTTTCAACATAAAGTACAGGTCAGTTGCAAAAATGAATGTCATGCTTACTTGGGCATGTGTACCTGATTCTTTCTGAAGTTGCAGTTCCAGTCCTCTCTAATGAACAAAACATCTCAATCCTGTAGCAGTTAATTTGGAGAGTTTGATAACTGTTTCTATTTGTTACTGGTTTAGGTTTTCAGGAAACAAACCAAGGAATCTAGGCAACAATACCAAGCTGATCGAATGGTTACCACAAAATGACCTCCTTGGTGAGTATCTGTTTCCATTATTTATTGCTTATTCTCACTTGAGTTCAGTTTGTTCTTTGAGAAATTCTCTACTGAATTAGCAGTTATTGTCAAGCCAGGATAATTTCTCTCATGGCAGTCATGGAGCAAGAATATTAAATTAGGATCTGAAGAGAGAATTGAGCACCTCTCTGTTTAAAATTTTCTTTCCCTAATACCAATTTCATATTTTCCTTAAGTCCAAATACTGTTCAAGGAGGAGTCATGAAACTGAGCATCAGAATCAGTTTTTAGGGATCTGTAAATGCTGTTTTATCAATACAACAAAGCTCTACCAGAACCCGGGCACGTGTTGCAAGCTGATAAGCTTTCGGTTTAACCCAAGTGCCTCAGGGGGGAAAGCAAACTTGGGGTTTTGTTTTTCTTTTTCTTCTCTGTCAAAGAGTACCTGAGCCTCTTGCCAAATCTGAGAGGCCACAGAATATTTGACTGTTTCTGGGAGATCTGGATGTTCTTGTGTTCCCAAGACAGCTCCAATGGGAGCTGATGAGTGCATTGAGCATCAAGGTGTGAGTGGGAAAATTTCCTGTAACTGGGTGGTTAGGCAGTGACTCCTGAAGCAGGTGGTTTGGTTTTGGTTACAGGGCTGCTCTGAGGCAGGCTGCTTTTTCCATCACACGAGGCTGTTCTGTGATCGTCAGGTCTTGCTAACCTCAAGTAAGGCATGTGAAGCTTTAGGAAGAGTGTGACAACAGTTGTCCTGCCATTAAACAAGTTACAGTCCGTACAAAACTGTGCTCCCCCTGGCTCACCTGTACTGCTGAACCTGCTGGAGTCACCACCTGCAGCCACTCAGGAGTAGGCAATGCATATTCTTTAGCCATTAATCATTGTACATGTCTCATACACAGGAGAGTTTTCTTTGCTTTGGCTGCTCTCTCTCTGTGTATAAGGAAATGATTCAATGCATGAGGAATTTCGGCAGAATGGGTTTAGGTAGAAGTTCAGGACAAGCTGCAGTAATTTTTACCTGCCCAAGTTGCAGCCATGGAAATGTAGTGATAAATTTGTTGTACCCAGGTGCTTCAATACCTTAATATAAAGGAGATGGAAGTGCATTTTGTAACCTTTGTGCCTCTTGTGGTTCCAGGTCACTCTAACATCAAAGCTTTCCTCAGTCATGGAGGCTTGAACAGCATTTTTGAAACCATGTACCACGGGGTCCCAGTGGTGGGCATTCCCCTCTTTGGAGACCATTACGATACCATGACCCGTGTGCAGGCCAAAGGGATGGGAATCCTGCTCAACTGGAAGACCATGACTGAGGGGGAACTGTATGAAGCTCTAGTAAAAGTTATTAATGACCCCAGGTATGGAATGAGCAATGGTTTGTTTGTGAATATGGATATGAAACCTTTTGTGCAGTGTTAAACCTGTGTTTGGTTATTTGTGTGCACAGTTGAGGCAAGTCTGGGTGTTTGTCCTGTTTCCCAAGATTACCCAACAGCTGAGGTTTGTGTGTGGGTGCTGGGCTCGTTGCTCAGCACCGAAATTCAATTGTCTCACTTGCTCTTTGTAGCAGTTGCCATGTGGAGGGCACAGAGGTTATGGAAACAAACCTATCCTGACTTAGTCTGTGTTGCAGACCAAGGTCCCTCTGTGTCTGTCTTGATGACTCCACATGAGCAGTCTGGCTGTGGTGCTGTCTGCAGGGCCTGGAGCAAGATACACGTGCATGGTTTGGGTCGTAGCTAAAATGGGGAGGTATTCAGCAAGGGTGATTCTAAGTTGTGTGATTTTTTTTTATTATTATTATTATTTAAAAACTCGTGTTTAATGTCTTATTTTCCTGTTCTGGCTCGTAATACCTCTCATATCCAGATGAAAAGTAGTGAGAGGTTAGCTGGCAGTCTATTGTGTTGGGCTAACCCTAGTTTTGGTGTGTGATGCTGTTGATGCTTGTTGATTTCATGGGAGCTGTGTCTTTCTGGGAAAGGAGATTGCAGTCAGGAGCAAGCAGCAGAGAGGGGGAATGTTGATACTGACCTTGATAACATCAGTTGCATCACATTCCCCTTGTGCAATTATCCTTGGTGTAAATGCAAGTCCTGTGTAAATAACCTGTCAACCCTGCAGACAGGAGAGGAAGATTTTGACAGGATCAGCTGCCGGGGTGAAAAACCAAAAGTTTTGGGTGAAACTCGGGGCCCGGGTGGAAATGGTTTATTGCAAAACCAACCTTGGGTTTCTCGCTGTTCTGCATTTCTCTGGTGATGCAGTTGCACAATGGCACGAGATGACAGCTTTTCCTTTCTCCCTTGTGTGCTCTCCTCCCCCCCAGCTACCGGCAGCGGGCGCAGAGGCTGTCGGAGATCCACAAGGACCAGCCCGGACACCCGGTGAACCGGACTGTGTACTGGATCAATTACATCCTGCGCCACAACGGAGCCCAGCATCTGCGTGCCGCTGTTTACAGCATCTCCCTCTTTCAGTATTTCCTACTGGATATTGCCTTGGTCCTCCTCGTGGGTGCTGCCTTACTTTACTATGTTTTGGCCAGGATGGCCAAGTTAATCTGCAAGCAGAGCAAACACCTCTGGTCCAATGACAAACATAGCGCTGTTAATGGACACTACCAGAACGGCATCCCCAATGGCAAGTATAGAAGAAATGGCCACATTAAGCATGAAAAAAAGGTGAAATGAGCCAACAGCCCCATGTAAAGTAGTAATGAATCAGATCAGTAATCGAATTTTATCGCTGTAACTTAGTCTAACAACTACTTAAAACCTCAATAAGCAGTTCTAACACTCCCCTTCAGTATGTAATATTATGTGACAAAATTCTGTGGAACTAAGAGAAGTCTTTAAAAAAAAAAAAAGGCAAGCACAACCTAAAAAAGAAAATATTTTATTCTTAATACTGATGCAGAGAGGTTATTTTGGCACTGAAGTTTTTAGAAGCCTTAATTCTCTAAAGTTCTATACAATGTCCATATTTATGAATTTTCAGCTTTTAAAAGCTCAGTGTGTGTGTCCCAAATGAGGAGAGGTTTCCTTTTATTTGCAGAGGTGTTCTCCTTTTATTTTTGTATTATTTTAATGTCTCCATCCTTTTAGCTGAGAGAACTCTCTAGTGCTAGTTCTGTGTTTCCTTTGTGGAAGGTTCAACCTGTTGAATGCTGTTTAAAACACAAATTATTTCCCCCAGTCTTTTTTGCGAGAAATAGCAAGTTATGGACTGAGAACACAGACGTTAAAAAATAAAAAAAGAAATAATCTTAATGAGCACTGAAGAAAAATGGCAAAAAATATGTACTCGTTTTACTGATAAAGCTGCATGACTCTTCTGCTCGCTACCAGTACTTTGGAGAAAAGGGTTCTGAGCAAGTCTACAGTGTGTCCTAACTTTTAACTGAGACAAAATTTTATTTGTTGCCTTTCTCTGCATACAGAATTTATGCCACGAAAATATTAGGGAGTCTTATTTCAGATCCAAATGCGGCTGTGTGGGAAGTAGATTTGCATAATTAAGAAAAATACATGAAACAACAGCAGCAAAAACAAACAACTCATAAAAACCTAGCCCTCTGCTTAGTGCAGGAGGCTTTGTAATGGCCCAGAGCTGTGCAGACTCGAACCACTCCATGGGGTTTGTTTCAAGGGAACAGCCCCCACACAGCGCTCCCCCCGCGCCCCCGGAGTTGAATGTCTTTCCTGTTAATTCTCATTAAGTTCTTTCTGAATCGCAATGTTGTAGATGTTCTCTTTCAATGGTTGTATCTGGAAAAAAAAACAAAAAAACCGAGAAATATTACCTTCTATTAGTCTGGGCCACGCAATCCATGTTCCGCGTAGTTGCCAATGGGAATTCCGTGCCGCGGGCGGTGTCCAGCCGTCCTGCCCGGGGCTGGTGGGTGTGTGGGGCGAGGCCTGGCCACCTGGAGGCTGTGCAGAGGTGGCCCCGTGTCCCCCTGCCTCCAACAATCTCCTTCAATCATTGTCGCCGACACGGGACGCTGGCGGTGGTGTGTGCTCCGAGGGCCGGCCGTGGAATCATTGCTGCCCTGCTGAACCAAAGTTGGCAACTATGAAGTTTTATTTCCATGTCATTCTGTTTACTTGGAATTTGCACTACACACGTTGTGAGTGTACGCTTTATTTATTTGTAGTTGGAGGTGCCGTGGCTGCAAGAGAAAGGAGGGAGGGAGGGAGGCCCGTTTTGCCTTGAGTCGCTCACTAACATGGGAGGAGTTGGGATGATGACGGTGCTGAGCTCATCTTCATACACAGTGATGCAATATTTCATCACCATTCCATCAGGAGCCTCGGTCCTACAGCAATAAATAACAGTGCAGATGTGTTTCTAATACGCAGGGCAGCTACTCGTGCTGCTCTCTGAATACTTGAAGAAAAAAAAAATGGTATTATAAATATAAGCCTCTTAGCTATACCTTTTTACAATCTTGCAGCCCATGGCAACTACAGGAGCACACAGAGGCGATGAATGGTGGGATGGTGAGAAGACTTCGAGTGTATGAATGACTTGGTTTAAAATGTGGGGGTTTTTTGGCATTAAAGAAGGTACAAAAGCACTGACCGGATGATTAAGCATAATTTAATCTCCACTGTGATAAAACTTAAGCAATAAACATGGATTTAATAGAGAAATTCTGTTGTTGGGAGTATATTTTTGTTCAATTGCATGCTGGTTGTCTTAAAGTACCCACCGTGTGTGTGTGCACTTAAATGTGGATGCTTATTGGGATACACACAACTTTTCTTCTCAGTATTAGCTCTGGTGCATGTATGGGAAATCAAAAATATTGCTGGTTTTTTTGAGTGTAGATAGATTCCCTGTAGGAACTCTGAATTGAAAGACAAAAGGGTTAATTATATTTCTTAAAAGCAAGTCACATTTTTTAAAGTTGATGGACATACTGGCACAGTGGTTTCTCTTTTTCCGTTTTCCTGGGAAACTTAGCGCTTGAAAAGCAGGGCTGGAAGGTTTTTCACGGTGATCTTAGATGAGATGATGGATTTCTGGAGTAGTCTCTGGATGTGCAAACATGCTGCAATTCTTTTGCAAGAAGGGACAGTTGCTGCGGTAATTGTATTGCAGAATTCCTCATGAGGGTGATCCACCTCATCTCTAGAAATACCTGTTGTGTTTCCACTTTATTCTAAGTTGACACACGAGCTGTTACTGTGGTTATTTCCATCCCTTCCATCCCATGGCAAGCGAGTTGTTGCTGTGTTTCGGACACAGAGTCGAGCAGTGATTGCTGTTGGTGCCCAGCCAGTGTTGAAATCAGCCAGATGGCTGAAGGGATATTTTAAAAAAGGGTTTAAAATTACATGTGTGTCTCCAGACTGCATCACAGTATCAGGACTGAGGCATTAGTCACCCCTCTGAACAATATTAGTTAGTACTCATTGGACAGAGAAGACACTTAAAAGAAACTGAGTTCATCTTCCAAGACAGTGCTCTGCCACTGATTGGAAAATACTGCAGCTGGGCCTTATTTATCCTGATGGAAATTCTACCTTTTGAGAGTTATAAACCTGATTTATTCATGGATATGTGTGTGTTTTCTCAAACAGAAGCCAGCAAATGCTGTTTCTCATTTTTCTGTAAAATGATGAAGCACACTATGCTGGGCATTCCTGGTTACTTCGTAATGAAACAAAAAGTGGATAACAAAGATTGTGTTCCTCATATTGAGGGGATGGAAGGTTGAGCAGTGTTTAGGGCTATCTTTAGGAAATCCTTACTCTGGAATTTACTATTAGAGCAGGGGATAGAATCATCCAATTGTTTAGGTACATGAGCCTTATATTACTTAGGTGTTAAGGAAGTTAACAGATCAGGAATGCCAAACCTTCCTTGAGTTGTTACAGAGGCAGTTCAGGAATTGCTCCTTAAAAGAGCAGCGTGGGCTGGAATTGGAGGATTCCAGTGTGTCAGGCAGGATTTTGAGGCACAAACACCTGCCTTCCGTAGGTTTAGGAGTGCTGGTCTGTGGAAAACAGAAGCACTGACTTAGAATTGCATTGCATGGAGCATTAATTGCAAATGTCAGAATAATTGTATTTTAATAAAATAATGGTATCTCTGGGAGTAAGAACTGGTGGGCAATACTTACTAAGGCAAGAAACAGCATAGACTTTCACTTGTGCAGGTGAGCACCAAGGTATTTGGCAGCCAAATACTCTTAATGCAGAGAGCACCCATAGATACTTTGATTCCAGATTAAGAGGCTGAAATAATCTGTATTTGTCATCTACTGTACCGATAGTAATGGGGACAGTGTTAATTTATAGTGCACCTCTTGATCTTATTTCTCTCATGATGTTGTTATGCAGTGATCAAATTTTACATTATTATAAATATTTTACTGTGTTCCTACATATTTAAAAATCACTTAGAACAAGCTAACAGTCAAAATTTTAATTTAATATCTACAAGTTTGATTTGTTAGGGGAAAAAAGTCCTGCCAGATCTCATAAAATGGGCAAGTTATTTTAAGGAGTGTAGCTGAATACACATATAAAGAAATATAGATAGACAGAGTTCTCTTTTATCTGTAATCTTGGATTTTGGAAAAGAAATGGGTGAATCTGGGCTTGTGAAATCCTGGAGGGCTCGAGGTGACAATGAGCTGTTTCTTTCCATGTCAGGAATAATTCCATGTCCCATTCCTCCTGACAGGGTGTTGCACTAGCTGGGCTGTGCAGTGTAATACACCTGGGAGAGATAAAAGCAGCATTTCATGTGTTGGTGTGTGTGCTGGTGTTAGAAGAAAATGTTGAGTTAGAGTAGGTGCTCAAATCTAGAAGGGACAAAGGTCAGGAGGATGCTTGGATGTAAGGGGCTGGTTGGACACGAGGCTCAGTTGGCATAGAGATGTTTGGTATCCTTTAGGGATGTCTCTGTTATTTGTGCTTCCCAAAGCTCACCTGGTTGTTTTCCAAGCTCACGGCAAAAAGATGCACTGAACTCCTGTGACATGCTGATGGGATGAAATGGTTCTCATTCTGAACACAAACAACTCTTTGCTTCTTGAAATTAAGCAGCAGATACATGATAATCTCAGATAGAGGCTTTGAGTAAATTCCCATTTTCTGCTCCTGTGAGATTTACAGCAGGGATAAGAATTTTCAGCTCCAGGAGATGCCCACTGAGAAAAACTTAGTAGAGACAGCAAATATATATGTAGAGAAAACAGAGTTCAGTAAGGAATTAACGTGTTTGCCTGTATTTCTAAGAGGTTCTATTCTGTTGTGCCCTGTTTTTTTATGCTTTTATGCATCTCTTTGTGAATGTTTCTGTATCTTCCCTTTTGGGTACATCAGCCTTCCTCAGCAATATTTTTACTGTAAGTTTCTGAGCTTGCCAGGTGTAGATTTGCTGCTTTCCCAAAGTCCCCTTGGCATTTCCCTGCCCTTCTGGTTCTGCTTTCCAGGATAACTCAGCTGGGGACCCTGTGACTCTGCCAGAAGCTGTTCCAGTAGCTCCTTCCCAGTTGTGCTGCTATGGAAAGCTCCTGTGTATCCCATATATCTGCCCTGGGCTCTGTTGGCTCTTGGGTGGAGGTGGCCTCGCCCCAGGAAACCTTTCCAAGCCTAGATTTAACTTTGGTCGTTGGATTTCACTGCAGATAAGACCTTTCAGCGCTTCAAGCCTTACCCATGAGCTTCTTGATGAAAGAAAAGTTTATTTAGCTTTTCCTTTTTTGTTGTTTTTGGCTCTGCAGCCTCTGGTCTGGGACAAGGTGCAGTGCTGGGTCTTTTGGTGGTGCTGACACAAGTGTGACAAGGAGACGCATGAATTAAAATCTGCTTTACTTTTACTGGAAAAAAATGCTACAGTTTGTTTTTTTAGATGAAATGATAAGAGCTTGGAGTGTGACTGATGATTGAGTACAGCAAGGGGAATAGGTTTTTTACCTGGGTCCCATTGCTCAGGGTACTCAGGTACAAGAGCTTCATCCATTTTTTTTTAAGGACTCGTTCCCACTGGCCACCCCTCTGGCCATGACTGCAGATGGCTCCTCGTTTTTGCAGACACCTCTCCTTTTTGTGGAGCTGCAGCACAAACAAACCCGGTGAGAAGATCCAGGTGAAGAATAACCCCGGGGAATAAACCCGAGGTCATTCCCTGTTTGTCTCTTCTAGAGCAGCCTGACAACAGCAGACAGAGCAGTGAAGAAACCAGGGCTGAGGAGTGACATGCAATGACAGGCAGGACTGTGTGGCTCCATGCTGTTCCCAGAAAAGCAAACTAATCTACACCTGTGCATGACACTTGGGATTCCTGAAAGATTCGTCAGCTTCTTTAATTTTTTT